TCTTGTTTACTGGTGTAAATACGTGCTGTGAATGTTGTAGAATTACTTCTACTGGTTTGTGCAAGGAAACTATGTCTATACCACTGGGGGTGACTTTGTAACAATTTGCAATATTGACTGATGCTATTATTTCTCTTTATTTTGCATTTTTTTCCTATTGTCTTTTTGTATGTGTTTATTCTCTAATTCTTATATTTAGACATGGTTAAACAGCGTAAAGATCTGTACTGATCCTTTCATATTGTTGAAGGGAAAACAAATGCATAGGATGATTCATGTGTTGCCTGCATGTGTCTTTAATCTCTACATCAGAAGTACGAGGCTTTGTACTATTTTAGAACATCAAGTAGGTTGAAACTTTGTACTATTTTAGAACTTCAAGTAGGTAATTTTTGTCTGATCAATAGCATTGAGAGTAGATGAGGTGCTTTTTTGAAGGGTTGTATTGCTTGGAGTTCTGAAGGTTTCCTTCCCTATCATAGTGCTAAACCTCTGATTTCAGTCCTATATTTTCCGTTCAAGTTAGATATAAATGGCGTTCTAGTTCGGCTATTAATAGAACCATCTGAAGTCTGAACTAATGGAAGAATTTGGTACTCCTATAACTCTTTCTGAGTTTAAAAGAGAAAAGGAATCAAATGGAGGACTATCCCTTCCCTCTATTGCAATCCTACATCTGCTTTTCCAAGTTCCCTTCCCAGTCTTTTGAGTTGGCATTGAAGCCTCAATGGCTAATGTAACCAAGGAGGGAAAGACAGGAAGCAAAAGGTAGCATGGAATGATGGAGAATTGGAGCAAACGTGGTGATGAATTGTAAGGGATTGCAGGTGTTGGGGACTTGCCGGAGGGGGCAAATTTTGTCGACCGGTTATTGTCACCTATTTCCCATGTCTCCTGTTGTCTTGGGATAAGGCTACTATTGCTGTGATGACTAGCAGCACTATTCTGAAGGCTAACACCATTATCTTGTGATCTTTATTGCCAACAGTCATCTCTCTAAAACTTTACATGGTAGCTTCAAAAGCGTATATCATTTGCAGAAGTCCTAAATGGGCCAAACACTTGAAAAGTCCAGCCTTTCATTTTCTTGCAAGACCACCAACATCATTTTTGGCCCATTGTTTGTAAAGACACCATCCTGAAGGCTAGCCGTTATCTTGTTATCACTAACCGTCATCTCTCTTAAAACTTTATACGGTAGCCTACAAGGTACATTTCATTAGCAGAAATCCTAAATGTATCAAACACTTAGATAAGTACAGCCCATTTTTTAAAAAAAATTATGTTTAATGTTCTTTTGGGACATGGATATCGATCAATTCCTGTATGAAATTAAACCCTGTAATTTAAGGTTATGCAGATGATATTGGGATCAAGTGCAATTAATTTTAAGTTAACTTGCAAAGTAGCCTCTTGTTTCTGGTTTCCTTTTGGTGTACCGTTCCCAATTGTACAGAAGATTGAGTTTCTTCCTTGGAGAACCATATCTTGGTGTAGGTTTTCTACTTTTTGGTATACGGCTTGTATATGGGGATTTCCTATCATTAATAAAATTATTTACCTTAAAAAAATTTGGGGTCGAATGCAGTTGGGTTAGTGGACTTTTGGGGCTAAATTTCGTGTGAGAAGGTGGCTTGACGTGTGAAAGTGGTGATCAGTACCTATAGTATAACACTGATTAAAGTAAATACTTGTACTATAATTTATTTATTTCCTTATTTATGTTTTATTGATTATTTTAACTAAGTTATTTATTTATTTATTTATCTTGTTATGCCTTTTTTACTTGGAACAACTACTTTGGGGTGTGTGCGTAAAACTGTTATTTTCCCGATTTAGTTCTTTCAACTCTTTATTTTTCTTCCGTGCTCTGGTGAAGGAATTGAGTTTAGATGAGGTTTAAGTCTATAGGTATTTAAATTTGTTGTAGTATTGAAACTGAGGCCAGCAAAATTAGGTTTAGGCTTAGTTCCAGCGTTGAGCTGGATACTTTATTCTTATATGTGCAGGGTATAACTAAGTATTATTTGTGGGATACCTTGCTTGCTGTTTCTGAATGTCCGGACTAATTTTGGAGATTGAGACTGATCTTGTACAAGAAGCAGCTAAAGGTGCTTATCAGTGAAGCTTCTCAAACAGCCAGTTCCAAGAAAAATGAAGCTTCTCAAACAGTCTTCCAGTCATAGCATTCTCTGCACTCTACCGATTTCTAGCAGATTCAGAATTTTCTTTGTTATGATCAGTTTTGTGTGTGTGTGTGTGTGTGTGTTTTTCTTTTTTTCCGGAAAAGGAATCAGTTGTATGTTCTTGAGATGCTCTGTCTAGTAATTTATGTTTGCCTTCTTCTTTAGTGATAGAAAATATTTGTACTCCTCGTTACAGTGCTAGTTGGCCTTGTGAAGTTTTCTGACTCATAGTATAGAGTTTTTTACTTAATTGTGAAGTTTCACCTGTTATGTAAATGCTCTACACCAGTACTCTTTGTCTGCCTTTTCACTTTTGCTACGTGGTTTGTCGGGTAAATATCTCTTTTAGTTTCATCTACATTGAATAAGATGCCTAAATGGGTTTGGGTTGATTAATTGGATTATGCTTTCTGAATCTACCAAACAAAAATTCCATCTTTTCTCGCTAATTTTGTTGCTTTTACAAATATTCATCTCCTCTGGATATATGTTTCTGGGTCATAATTGTTCCCAAGCCTCATTTCCTTTCTTTAGTTGTCTTCCTCTTATAAGTTAGGGCAGTTTCCTTTTTGCAGGGATAGAAATAGATGATGATGAACTTGCACGTTTTGTGGAACATGTCGATAAGGACAATAATGGGATTATCACTTTTGAAGAATGGAGAAATTTTCTTCTACTTTATCCACATGAGGCCACGATGGAGAATATTTACCGATACTGGGAGAGGGTATGTCTTGTAGATATTGGTGAACAGGCTGTTATTCCAGAAGGCATCAGTAAGCATGTTCATGCAGCTAAGTATTTGATTGCGGGGGGAGTTGCAGGAGCTGCTTCTCGTACCGCTACAGCTCCCCTTGATCGGCTTAAGGTGGTTTTACAAGTTCAGACTACTCGTGCTTCTATTGGTCCTGCTGTCAAAAACATATGGAAGGAAGGTGGTTTATTGAGTTTTTTTAGGGGCAATGGATTAAATGTGATGAAGGTTGCACCTGAAAGTGCAATCAAGTTTTACACTTACGAAATGTTGAAAAATCTCATTGCTAGTACCAAGGGTGAGGAGCAGGGTGACATTGGAGCTTCTGGGCGTCTTGTGGCGGGAGGCTTGGCTGGTGCAGTAGCACAGACTGCTATCTATCCCATGGATCTTGTTAAGACTCGGTTACAAACTCATGCATGTGAAGGTGGAAAGGTTCCCAACCTGGGAAAACTATCAAAAGATATATGGGTTAAGGAGGGGTCTCGGGCCTTTTATAGAGGGCTGATACCATCTCTTCTTGGAATTATACCTTATGCAGGCATTGATTTGGCTGCCTATGAGACATTGAAGGATTTGTCCAAGATATATATTCTTCATGATAGCGGTATAGCTTGTAACTGTTAACTGCTACTCACTTTTCTCCGACAAAATTAAATGGAAAATTTTCTAACAGTTGTTTGATATACAGAACCTGGCCCTCTTGTGCAACTGGGTTGTGGGACAATATCCGGAGCGCTTGGAGCAATGTGTGTTTATCCTTTACAGGTCGTTCGCACGAGGTAGCTCTCAATGTCTAACTGATGCTGCTACCATAAATTTTCGCATTTGTATATACTTCATGTGTTATCATGCAATTTGCCTTTCTTTTCACACACAACTTCAATTTTGCTAGAATGCAAGCTCAACCTACAAATGCTGATGCTGCTTACAAAGGAATGTCTGATGTGTTCCGAAGAACACTTCAGCATGAAGGTCTCAGAGGCTTTTACAAAGGACTTTTTCCAAATCTTCTAAAAGTAGTTCCAGCAGCAAGCATTACTTATCTCGTTTATGAATCCATGAAAAAGAGTCTAGAACTCGATTAGGTGATATATTCTTGATTGACTGCTCCACATTTGGAGTTAAATACAGCTGATGCTGAGGACGATGATGATGAAAATGAATTAAGTTTTTTGGCTCATAGGTGCTTTAATTGTCAAAATCACGCACTTCATTTTACCTAACAAAAAAAAAAAAAAAACATACACATGGTTGATGCGACATTGGATGTTGAAGAAACTTTAACGAGAGTTTTATTCTTAGCCTGACAGAATAACTATGTTCGTGATTGAGAATGGTCTTCATTTGGTGATTTCTGTCCGAGTTTTGTAGGCATGTCCACTGTAAACTAATGCTAATTTACATACACAATGTAATACTGTAAGGTGTAAACCTTACCATTTTTTCTGTATGGATAATTTGCGTGGATGATCGAACTCATTTTGCTCCATTTCCTTCTGTATATAGGCTCGTTTGCCACCTTGGTGCAGATGAAACAGTTACACCAAAATAACAAGCTGCTTACTGTTTTACCAGGATTCATGGTTCGACATTAGATTTCTTATTCTCGTAAAGTGGGATGGTAAGCAATCTGTTATTGGGTCAAATACTTGAGTTAATCAAACAGCATGTTCTGAAAATTGAAATCCTGGCATACTTTATGTTCCACTGTATTAAGTAAATAACAAAAGTATATGCAAAAGAAGAAAGAGCTATGTATGAATATGTAGAAGTACAAAGTTAAACGAAATCAAAGGTGAACAGGAGAGTTGAAAAACAAAATTTATTGTGATAGTATAATATGAGAGATGAAAAGAAAAATTTATTGTCATAGTGCAATATATTTTTCTCATGAAGGTTGTGAGAAGGGTACAATGTTGTTCTTTTAATTTATTTTTTTTCCCTTTCTGTATCCGACAGGGAAGCAAGAAATAGCGTTAGCAAATAATGTTTGATCATTTCCTCAATTTTGTGTCAGAAGCTCATTAAAAGTTTATAACTTTCAGTTTTTTTTTTTTTTTAAATATTTCAGTTACAGAAGTTAATATTTTAGAACGAAAATATAGGAAGTGAATAATCTAGGGTTGTTTTTTTGCGGCTTTGATCTATTAGAATCTTTTATGATATGTTAATATTTAATTGCCAAAAATATTAATTATGAATCCTGCTAAGATTTTGTAAATTTTTTGTAAATATTGCACTATTATATGTGTTCTTTCCCCAGACAAAAAATGAATTACTCCATTTAATTTTGGGCCGTAAAATTTTGTATACTGCTGTCAGTATTTCTCGGTTAGCCGAGGTCTGGGAGCAAAAGCACTATAAATAATGCTTTTTTAATTTTCTGCTGAGATCAGAGGTAACTCGTCGATAAGTTTTCCTTAGGTGTGTGGGCTTTGGCTACTGTTTAGGTCTAACACTATTGGTTTGAATAATTGAACCTCATCCTCCTATTACCCATTGCATTAATGCCTTTGAATTATATATCAGTTGTTTCTCCTCAGGTTCTTCCCAATGATATTGATTTGCTTAATCCTCCTGCCAAGCTTGGGACAAAAACACATAAGCTAAAGTCTGTACTCCAAGGACCTACTTGTTCTGTGGTAATGTTTAACCACCGATACTCTACACATATCGTTTGATCCGTTATCACGTCCTTTGTTTTTTGCCTTCTCTTCTTTTAACTCTAATGAACTGTTGCAGAGTGTGAAATGTCAATGCTGCTTCATTATGTAAGTAACACAAACTTGGTTTATATTCTTGTTTGTATCGGTATTCTTTTCATAATTAACTATTAGTTACTGATTTAATAAGGTACTTCTTTAAAATTCTTACAGGGCTACGAATTTTGGTCGTGCACAATCGTTTGTTCTATGCTCCACCTGCCAACAAGAGACATGTACACCATCATCTACGAGATCGAAGCTTACAGAAGGTTGTTCCTTTAGGGTTAAAAAGAATGCTAAGATGATCTTTTGCCTGATATTTTGCTATAGTTGGTTGAGCTACCAAGGTGACGTATATAGGTGTACTTAAAGGATGAATTAGTCAATAGATAAGTTTTCCGTTTACCAGCTTCTTTTTGTGAAAACGTTCGTACTATGAATAGTTTGGTTGTCTTTATTAATCTACTGCAATTTGAAGCGATTATTCTTCTTGGCTTTCAATTTTAATTTGTTCTTGTGAAAAGAATAGTCTATATATGGGCGTCAAGTTCTTCGGATATATAATTCTGGGAAATACTAGGTGTTTTCCGTTTACTCTGAATAGTGTTGCCAGGGGCGTATCTTGGTTAAGGAACGTGGCCTCACGTGAACTCATGCTCCTCTCCCTAAATCATGTATAACAATATTATATTGCTTTAAAGATACTTAAATATATGTTTGCACACCCATGCTCAAAGGCTCATATAGTGCAATAATTATTAGGTGCACCTCTACAAGTGAAATTGGCGGTTCAAGTCCCACTCGGGACGGTCTTGTCTTCGGCACGGAGTATAAGATATATGTGAGAAAACCACTAAAATGTTCAAAAGAATATAATTTTGAACCTATAGAAAGAATAGCAGATTCAAAGTAAGAAACTAAAGTTAAACCCGTCAAATGTAAATTCTAGATCCACCCATCCTCTTGAAATTTTGTGTCTGCCTCTGAGTGTTGCGGTTAGACTGAGCAAGTCAAGCATAATAAAAATAGAGTAATAACATGTTATAACCAGTTACGTTGCATTGCTAGTGTAATTTTTTTTCTTGTACTGTGGGAGATGAATGATTTCTGTCATTGATATGATTTGGGAAGCACCTTCAATCCATTTAATCTCTACTTCTAGCCACCCTGGTTTAGGTTAAATACTACTGCATAATTGCTGTATAATTTTTTATTTTTACCACCACCAGTAGGCAGCAGAACAGTGTGCTTTGTAATTGGATATAAGCAAGAATTATAAAAATTTGGGAAATAAACAGAAAAATGAAGATGAAATATCAGTGAACTTGATGACTAGAAAGGTAAGAACAAGACTGTATTTCTTAAAAAGAAGGCATTGCCTCCAACACCATTATATAATAGCAAAGCAACAAACTCAACAAGGACATTGGTTGAACAGTAGTTTAATCAAAAGCTAAAAGACTAATAATAGCAAAGCAACAAACTCAAAAGCCAGGCTGATCCATGATATATATGATGGGGAAGTAATATGAAAATACAAGAAGAAAAAGGTAAAAATCTGGAAGAAAGGCGTGGCCTTCCCTTTGCCGCTATGACTTGCCTGTTTACCTTGGTAACTGACTCACATCAGATGCACCAAAGGGTGTGACCTAGTGTTCACTGAAAAGTTGTGGTGATCGCCATTTTCATCCTCGAGTACTCCATCAAAATCCTTCTTTTTCTTCTTTCTCCACATCTTCTTATGCTTCATAGCCTTATAGTGCAACTAATTATAGGAGCTGAGTTTCTGTTTTCTCTTCTCTACAAGTCCTATTATATAGGAGTAACATTCTTGAAAGCCAAGAATTTGTCCACCATATTATCTGTAGCCAAAGGGCTAGAAACATAAAGAAATGGCAAATTTTTATGGTCCCCCCTCCTAGCTACTATATTCTTTTTGTATTAGGCCGTCCTACTTATCCACCACTAAGAATACTTATATTCTTTCTTTCAAAATAACAACAACAGCAACCCAGTATAATCCCATAAAATATGGGGAGGATAGTTTATACGCAGACCTTCGCCCTACCATGGGGTAGATATTCTTTCTTTCAGAAGATTTGAATTAATACAACAATAAAGATATATCTCAATCTCAAGCAAGTTAATGTCAGCTATTCAAATCTTTACTGTTATGTTGCTCCATTTAAGTTCTATCTCAATCCAATAACAGATTTAAATTAATAAAGGTGAGGAAATCTATGCACTCTCCATGTGGAGAAAAGCAAAAAAAAAAAAAAAAAAAGGATAAACAAATCGATTCCGGGGGAATAGAGAAGAGGTAAAGTTAACTGACAAATGGAATGCGTTTCATCAAAAGATGCAATTTAGATGGATAAGTAAGTGGAAAGTGTTGGGTTAAAACTTAAAAAGCATTTAACGGAGGCCATCAAACATATAAAAAAAATAAGTAAAGGAAGCTAACACAGGACCCTCCAACCTACTAAAAGTGGAATATGATGCAGATTGGCTTTCTCTTAATAGAGTACAATTACTTTGCATCGTTCGTTTTTAATACTCATTAAAAAAATTCAAATGCTTCTAAGGAATCTTGTGGAAGCTGAAAGCCACTAATTCATTAAGTGGGGAGGAGACATTATCCCAGCAAAAAAGGATCTAAATGTGGAAAATGTACAATATTTGTCTTTTTCCATTATGTTCCTTTTGAAAGTGAAATTCTTGGTAGACAAAGGAGCTAAAGGGATTGAATATGTTTAGCGTTCTTGGGGATGAATAATGGAGCTTTTATGTTAGTTTAGAGATTTGAGATGTTTGCTCCTTGGAATTTGGAGCTGGAGGCTTCTAGGAATATCACAGTAGGACCACTGGTAGTATATAAGTTACGATTCGACCGAACTCACTGAATTTTGATTAAGATATTATAGTATATGTTAAAAGTAGGGGTGGCAAATGAGCGGATTTGGCTGAATTTGAACGGGTCAAGATAGGTTAGGTCAATAAATGAATCATTGTCTAATCCAGTCCAAAGTATACTTGGGCTAAAATGGGTCCGGCTCAAGATGAGCTAAACAATGGTCATAATCGCTAGCAGTACATCTCTGTTAAAAATTAAAACTTATCGATATTGACCATGAATGTCGGAGGTGTGCTAATATTGACAAGGTAATAAGCTACTGAATCATCATATGACAAGCTGCTGCATTAGCAAGTAATAAGCACCTGCGTCAGATATAGTTGATACTTTCCTTATCAGTAGCCAAAATAATACTTTATCCGTAGATCTCGAGCAAATTCTATCTTTGCTCTATTATCCAACTATTATGTGTTCGTTTTCTCTACTCTTTTAACCAAATCTTCTTTGCTAAGTATGTCAGAATAGTAAAGCAAAAAATGTAAAACAAAATATTATATACAGAAACTTAGACTTAAAAGAACATGCCTGTGGACGTGCCGGAGTGGTTATCGGGCATGACTAGAAATCATGTGGGCTCTGCCCGCGCAGGTTCGAATCCTGTCGTCCACGTTTTTTTCTTTGCCTTCCCAATTACCCATTCTTTGTGCCGGCATTCCCATTCCACAAAGAACTGCCACTTTGCTAGTTATGGTTTTGGTTTCCACAATGAACAACAACAACTCCTATGGTTCAAATAAGGTACAAACAATCATCATTCCTGATATTTACACTAAAGCAACAATGCAAAACCATTTCACAAATTCAACAAGTCCATGCTCAAGCCATTACCAACGGCCTCCTCTCTTTCAATTCCAGTACTCAAATCCTTCATTCCTTCACTTCCCTTCTTCCTTCTCTTCCTTTACAACCCAACATCCATCACTATGCCACTCGTTATGTCACCTCCATTTTCAGCCGCATTGAAAACCCATCAACTTTCTGTTACAACACTATCATTCGAGCCCACACCCTCCTCTTTTCCCCAAATACCTCGTTTTTATACTTCCTCAAAATGCGCCGAAATTCAGTCCCACCAGACTCCCACACTTTCCCCTTTGTTCTCAAAGCTTGTAGTTTAGTAAATTCTCTGTCCCTCGGCAAGACCCTTCATTCTCAAGCCTTGAAGTTTGGGTTTTTAGCTGACGTTTTTGTGTGTAATAATCTTGTTCGTGTGTATACCGTCAGCGGTAATACTAGTGACACCCATAAGGTGTTTGACGAAAGTTGTTGTAGAGATGTTGTTACTTATAATTCAATCATTGATGGGTATGTTAAAGCGGGTGAGATGGACAAAGCGAGGGAAGTTTTCGACGAAATGCCTGAAAGAGATGCAGTTTCTTGGGGCACCCTTTTGGCTGGATATGCAAAATTGAACCAGTGTAAAGAGGCTATTGAGCTGTTCGATCAAATGGTTTCGCTAAATGTAAAATTTGATAACGTTGCATTGGTTTCTGCTCTCTCAGCTTGTGCACAACTTGGGGAACTAGAGAAGGGGAAGACCCTACATGATTATATTAGGAAGAAGGGTATTCACATAGATTCATACTTGTGTACTGGATTGGTAGATCTATATGCCAAATGCGGGTGCATTGAGATTGCTATGGAGATATTTGAGACAAGCTTGGAAAAGAAAGTGTTTACTTGGAATGCTATGCTAGTTGGATTAGCCATGCATGGTCATGGCCAGTTATTGTTTGATTACTTCTCAAGAATGGTGGAAGGTGGTGTTAGGCCTGATGGGGTAACTTTTTTGGCATTGTTGGCGGGATGTAATCATGCAGGTCTTGTTCAGGAAGCTAGAAGGTTCTTTGGAGAAATGGAAGAGGTTTATGGTGTTTGTCGAGAACTAAAACATTATGGGTGCATGGCGGATTTGCTGGCACGTGCAGGGTTGATTAAAGAAGCTATGGAGATGATAGAGGCAATGCCAATGGCTGGTGACGTGTTTGTGTGGGGTGGTTTGCTTGGTGGGTGTAGGATACATGGGCACGTCGAGCTTGCTGTTAAAGCTGCTGAAAATGTGATGGAGGTGAAACCTGAAGATGGTGGGGTGTATTCAATCTTGGCAAATGTGTTTGCAGATGCTGGCCGTTGGGATGATTTGGTCAGTATAAGGAAAAGAAGAGATTGTGCACAGATCAAGAAGAGTGCTGGTTGTAGTTTGATTCAGTTGAATGGGGTAATACATGAATTTATTTCATGGGATGACTTGCATCCTCAAAGCAAGGAGATATATTCTGTCTTAAATTGTCTACAACTCAATTTGAAGCATTCTATTGCCGATAGGGTTTTGATGAACTAACAATACATTCTTTTCACTGGTACAACTATACTACTGTCATTTGACGTGTAAAAAAGTTCTTGAGTAACATCTCAGTCCAGGTTCTGTGTATTTTCTTTTGTTCCTCGACTACACAAACTTCCTTTGTTTATAGACAATTCTTGAATAGCATTTCTTTTCCACGAGCTACTTCAGGCAATACATCGCTGGATTATGCTTTATTGGTAAATAGTTGTATTCATCTTTTC